TTGACCAGCTGTCGATTGGCTTTACTGGAACATTCATGCTGACGCTGTTTCTGAGGCAATCTTCTTCGATGCTGGTGAAAAGGTGCTAAACTTTCGTTTATCATATGACGGATGTAGTGTATATATACCACTCTTCAGGGATTAGAAGGTGAGTTTTCTTGACTTGTTAGCTTGAATTTTGTTGTGAAGATGTTACCTCGCTCTGATGATGTCCGTCATATGACGGACGAATTCTTTGCACATTTTCACCAGAATCGAAGCAGATTGCCTCGGAAACAGCGTCAGCATGAATATTCCGGTAAGGCCAATCGACAGCTGGTCAAGAGGAACCGACCTTCGAATCACTTCACCCAACATTTTCACTCTAAATGGAAGTAAGCTCAACAATATTGTCAGGAAGACCTAGAGGGACGAACCTTGTCCGGAGGCCATAGTATGCAAGTTTATTTCCACTGTCGAACCGTGGACGGGGTACATTCCCAGACGTTTAGCCAGCATCGTCAGTGAGCCTGGCCAGTCTTAGCACCACGTCAAAGAGATAAGTGAGGTCGATCTTCTAAACACTTGTCTGCTTAACAGTTGTGGTATCTCTTATTCTCTTCTGAGCTATTCACCTATCCTATGTCATCGTATCACACCTTCACTATCACAATTTCTCACTTGTTTATCTAGACCTATTTGAAATCTATTCACACTTCTCGGAACACCTACCAAATGGTAAGAAAGGATCCAACCCTGAAGATCAGTGGGACACTGAAGAATATGCTAAAGGAAATGCATGATAAAGGGGAAATTGACAGATGGATGATGAACTCTTCAATAAAAAATGACGTAAGACCGCCGACAACCTACGGACTACCGAAGATACACAAACTGGGAAATCCGCTAATATTAAGAGTCAACAGCAAGCATGGAGCAACACACAAGCTAGCGAAATTCATTTGTTTGAGGCTCAATAAAGTAAATGACAGACTCACGAATACCGTTAAGATTTCATTTAAATTTTCTTAAAGGATCCAAAATATTGGACAGGCAGGCACGGAAATGTTGGTAAGTTTTAACGTACAATCCACC